GCGCTGCCGCAGGCTCCTGCTCTTGTAACGAGCTCTTGCTTGCACCAGACGGGAAGGAAATGGATGTCAGGCGGCATCCATTTTCCATCTCCAGAAGACTAGGTGAAGAGCTGCCACTTTCAGTGTCTATAAGCCCTCACCCTGCTGGAGTGATTTCGCAGATTTTTCACGTTGCATTTTACGTTACTCACTGTGGGTGTGGGTGTGGGGTGCATGCCAGTCACAGCACACATGGAGGTCAGAGGACGGCTCCACGGAATCAGGTCTTCCTTCCCACTATGTGCGTTGGCTAGGTCGAGTTATCAGGCTTGGCGGCGCGGCAGCTGCCTTTAGCAGCTGAGCGTTCGCTGGCCCCTTTACTAATATTTGAAACTACACTGTTCACTCTTATGTGAATTTGGTTACAATAATCCATCTAGAAAGCAAGCCTCACGGAGACAAGGACTTGATCTCTGTTTACTGTAGTAGGTGCCTAGTAAACATGCTGGAGAGAAAATGAGTACACCCAGCACACAGTTAGAGGCTAGACAGAGATAGAGAGATGTAGCCACAGGATCCTTATCTTTCGGGACCTGGGAGCTTGGTATAGAAGAAAGGTCACCTGTGTCCTACAGTAAGTAGGGAAGATCACAGCTGGCCAAGACCTTAGGAGGAATGCTGCCCCACCCCGCCATCACCCTAAGTTCAGAAAAGCATGCCAAGAGAGCAGCAACGTCACAGAGTTGGGCACTGTGCTGGGCACTTTACATACTGCAGGGCAAGCCCTGGAGGCTGAGGCTGGGGAGAAGGTGGCTCATCACTGCAAAGCAACAGCAGAGACAGCGAGGAGCAGAGGTCAGAAAGCGCAAGGCGCGTCTGGAGGCAACAGGGGGGCAGTCGGACTGCAGCTGAAAACAGGACCGTAGGAGATGATGCTGAATGTGGATGGGCCGGACGCCCAAGAATGCTGAACGTCAGGTACATAGCAAAGCCTTCGCCAAGAAGTTATAGGGAGCCCCGGGAGGAGGACACAAGGACATTGTAGGGCAGAAGTTTGAGTCAACAGGCCAAGTGTTAGAGAGGTAGACTGTCTTTGACTTAGTAGTATCTTTTCTTTCCTTCTTTTCTCCTTTCCTCCCTTCCTTCCTCCCTCCCTTCCTTCCTCCCCCCTCCCTCCCTCCCTCCCTCCCTTCCTTCTTTCCTTCCTTCCTCC